CTCTCCTCTCCTCTCCTCTCCTTTCCTCCTTCATCACTCTTCTGCCCTTTCCTCTGCTTTGCCCTGCCCAGCCCTGCTCTGCCCTTTTTTTTTGTTTCTTTTTTTTTTTTTTTTTTTTTAAGAACTTGGAGATGGTTCTCACAAGGGCTTATCATAGCTTTGGGAGAACAGTCCCTGGTGTCTGCAAAGGGGGAAAGGCAAACTCAGCCAGCACACCCTCCAGAGCACCTCCCCAGCTTTGTGTCTCCACCTGCAGATGCCTTTCTGCTTTGCCTGTCCAGGTTGTCACACAGTACGGCTCTATGGGGTTTATGTTGCAAGATTTTGGTGGGGGTGGTGTTATAGGGGTGGCCTCTATGAGAAGAGGCTCCCCCATGTCAGACACAGCCAGGTCCTGTCAGCTCCAAACCAGACCTACCGCTGTCCAAATCTGAGCCCACCAGTGAAATGCAGACCCAGGTTGGAGGGGTTCCTGAAGGAACTGACTCCTGTGGGAGGGACCTCATGCTGGAGCAGGGGAAAACTGGAAGGAGAAAGGAGGAGCAGAGACAACACGTTATGGAATGATCACAACTCCCCTTCCACAGGCCCTTATGTATCCTCTCCCGTGAGGTGGCAGAGGAGTCAGGAATGGAACAGTGAAGATGAGCCTTGGAAGAAGGGGAGGGTGGGGGGAAAGTGCTTTTAGTTTTGTCTTTATTTCTCACCATGCTACTCTATTTCAAATTGGCAAAAAATTAAATTTCCCCACATCAAACCTGTTTTAACCGTGATGGCAACTGGTAAGTGATCTCCCAGACTTTATGTCAACCCAGGAGCTTTTCTGTCTTATTTTCTCCCCTTGTCCATTCTTGGAGGAGGGGGGCAGTGAGAGAGCAGCTGGGTGGCCATCGTGGAAGCAACACATGTCCTCAGCCTACCACCATCCTTTCTCTATTGCCTGCTCAGGGTAACCTACAGGACTGGAGTTACTCTAAAGGAATGTGCACGTGGACAATGGTCCCAATCCTCTGCCTCTCTGGAAGCAACACATGTCCTCAGCCTACCACCATCCTTTCTCTATTGCCTGCTCAGGGTCACCTACAGGACTGGAGTTACTCTAAAGGAATGTGCACGTGGACAATGGTCCCAATCCTCTGCCTCTCTGGAAAACAGTAGCTGGGGTCCAGCACATTCTGTGCTCTGCAGACACGTGTGCTATCGTCACCAAGGAAACTCTGTGCCTGGCTGTGAGAATTCTCAGAGAGCTACACTGCACCTGAGGTGGGAGAGTGACCAGCTGGGAGTGCTCAGAACATCTTACCAACTCTGCCTTCTGCTCTCTAGCCCTGTGCCCACCACTTTACTTTGGCCACTTTTTCCCCTGCATTACAGAATGAATCCAGAGAAAAGGAAACAGAAGAACAGAAGGCACGAGCAGATGTCAGGGGAACCTGGTAAGAGCCACATTTCTTCTCTTTAGACAGGGATGGAGGGGCAAATGACCCACTGGAAAACCCTGATTCCCTGAAAGGGCTGAATGGGATAAGAGGGATGTGTTCCTCCAAAAATCTGTTCAATGCATTCTTGTCGTTCTTTAGGGAAAGGTCTTAGTGAAATTTCCTCTCTTTCTCTCTCTTTTTCTTTTTCATGTGAACCTAATCCCCAGATCCTGACACCAAGCGTCAGAGCGTGCAAGAACTAGCAAACATATTTGAGGCTCCAGGTAAGTGTCCTGGATACCATTTGTCCTGCCTGTGATCATCCTTGGGATCTTCTGGGATGCCGAGTATCTCTGCAGAAGGAAAGGAGCCTGTGAAGGTCTATCCCTCTCAATCTCTTTGATAAGTAGCAAGGCCTACTCCAGAAGAGTCTTGGTAGAGGAAGGCTTTGCAAAACAGGCTTGAGTGAAGATGAAGGGGGATTCGCACATCTGTTCTGGGATTCCTTTCACATTTGACTGCAAGGGCAGTCACACTCTCTTTCTCACCCTTTGTTGGACTACCATCTGACAAGTGGGGCAAAACCTCTGGGGGGCTCTGCCTCTGGACCAGCAAATGAAACTTCTTCATCATTCCTTTGCAGGAAGTAGCATTTCGTCTCCTCAGCAGTCATCCACAGGTGGAAGGGATATTCCTAGCCATGCAGGTGAGAGCCTGTGCTGACCATGACATAAGAGATGATTAGTGCCCAGGGAAGGACCACCATGAACACCCAAGGGAAGGAAGACATATAGCTCCTGAAGCTGTGTCAGATGGTGGGTGGGGGTCAGCCACACCAATCCCCTTCTGACATCTCTGAACATTGGCACAGCCCCCCCGACCATGGTATGGGTAACGTTGGCAGAGGCTCTGGGTGGCATTTTGACTCTTCTCGTATCTGGCACTTTCACCACCCCACAGACTGCCCTTCCAACGGCCTCCAGCAAGTGTTTTGTTCTTGCTGGCATTCCCATGCAGATGTCCTGGTGCACATGGTGACGAGAAGAAGGATGCCTGGAGGAGCAGTATGCTAGGCCCGGTGGTGGGCTGACCCACAGCAGAGTGGGACAGGCTGGATGGTGCTGAATCCCATCCTGCCCGGGATGTAAGGCCAGCCCATCTCCTGCAGCTCTTCTTTTTGGTGACCCGCTTGCAGGAGCATGCTCTTCCCTTGGGGAAAGCTTGTGATGACCATGGCCTGGGCTCTCTCTTATGGCTGTGCCTTTTCCTGGAAGAGAGGGAGTTTTTTTTGCACTGCACTGACATTGACCACCTGGGTGTGAGATCCTCCTAGTTAGAGATAAGAGGTTTCCTTGGTTTTCTGTCTTCTTTCTACAGGATCCACCCGTGGGGGAGAGCATTCTTTGCAGCAGGGACGAGGAGCAGATTCCCTTGGGCGAGTTCAGGAACACAGGTCACAGCAGAGCAAAGGGGAAGGAGACCTTGGTTTTCTGTCTTCTTTCTACAGGCTCCACCCAGGTGGTAGAGCAACCCTTGCAGCAGGTACAGGGAGCAGATTCCCTTGGGCGAGTTCAGGAACACAGGTCACAGCAGAGCAAAGGGGAAGGAGACCGAGAAAGACTGGTAATAGGTAAGGGGTCTTGACAGCGCACGTGTCTCAGGAATGCTGGCTCCTCCTCCCTATGTTCCTCCTTCTCCCATTGGGGAAGGTCTGAACCATCTGCTCTGACCTCAAGGTAGAGTCTGCTTTCAGCAAGAGACTCACCAGACACCTCCCAAGCTCTTTCCTGCCCAGAAGAGCTCTGCCATTTGGTGACAAAGGCAAAACCCCAAATCGCAGGCCAAGCCTCAAGAATGCATTTGGCTTCTTCAGAAACCTTCAGGGCATGCAGGAGAGCTGTCCTGGGAGGTTCTGGGAGGAGATGTGAGGGAGCAGAAGCATCCCAATGTGGGGTGGCAGGAGGGGAAGGGGCAGAGTGAGGCCCCTGCAGTCTCCCCGGAAAAGACCATGTGGTGTTGCCCATGACCTCTGTGGCAGCTCAGACAGCTCATTGGCACAGGAGGCCTGCACTGGGACTCTGAAGCAGGACACAGTGATCAAAAAGCCCCACAGCACTGCTGTCAGGTGCTTGGTTTATAGGACCTCAAGTTGCTTGGGTCATCTGCATGATGCATTCTTCCCCAAAACCTGTTCAATACGTTCTTGTGCTTCACGAGGGAAAGATATCAGTTAAGTTTCCCTTTTTTATCTGTTTTTTCCATATGCATCTACTGACCAGAACCTGAGGCTGAGAAGCGCAGTATCCAAGAACGAAAGAAACGCTTTGAAGGCCGAAGTAAGTACAGCGAGTCCCATTGCTCTGCTTGTGGTCATCCTGGGGCAGCTCTGGGATGTGATGTGTTAGCACTGAGAGAAGTGAGGCTTGAGGAGGTTTATCCCCCCTGAGCATGTCCTCTGCAGAAGCCCTTCCAGTCCAGAGCAGAAGGCATGGCCTCCCGGGTGGGGTGAGTTGGGTCAGCAGGGTGTACCTCATTGGCGACAGCCACGTCCTACCCTAGCCCAGGTAATTGCTGGAGTTGGTAGAGGAAGGCTTTCCACGGGACAGGCTCAGGTGAATTTGCTGAGAGATTGACATGTCGCTTCTGGGATTCCTTTTCACTCTGGGAATACAAGGGAGGGTTTGTCACCCTCTTGTGGGACTGATCACTTCAGAAGTACAGGAAAACACCAACAACAATCTGCCGCTGGCCCACCGCAGGAGTAAACATTCTTCACCCTCAATTCTCTTGCAGGAAGTAGCTTTCCACCTCCTCAGGTGTCATCCAGAGGCAGAAGGGAGATGTCTCCCCGTACAGGTGAGAGGCTGGATTGACCGTGCTCTCTGCAGGAGAAGGAAGGGAGGAGGGTGGGATCAGTAGACTTTTCTTGTGGTGAAAGAGGAGGGTTCATTCCTCGGCATCTTGCGGTCTCACGCTCCAGGGGTGCTCGTTGCCCATGCTGAACTTTTCTCCCAGCACTGAGAGTGGTGCCTCCCATCTTCAAAAGGGGTTCACCATAGACTTCCTCCTGTGTGGCCTTAGTTGGATACGGGTCCCATCTCCTCTAGTCACTGCCAATGGTTCTAGCTCTGTGGTCACGGAGGGTGCTGGCGTCCTCAGCCCCGCTCTGGGCTGCCTCTGTGCACTTGGTTTTCTCTGTAGGGTGGAAGCTTGAGGGAGGCCCTGCCAAGCATGGAGAACCTGGGCTGGTTTTTATGCCTAAGGGGCCACCACAGCACCATGAAACTGTTGCTCTTGGAGTGGCAGGACTAAGAGTTCCCTGGTGGCTTTCCCGAGCTCACAGGACTTGCCTCTCTCGAGCTTTGTGCATTCGGCTTCATCTGTGCATGTGTCAGGAATGGGTCTTCAGGGATAGCCAGTGCTGGACCATACCCTTTCTGTCATGGGTGTTTCTTCTCAGAGAAAGGGGATCTAATTTTTAGTACATGGTCTGGCCCTTCCTCTCACCTCTCGTTCTTGTCTTATTGGAATGAGAGGCTGAGCTCCTCTCACAGCAGGTTTTAGTCCACATGAGAATAGAAGCAGCTAAGACAGCAGTGTGTTTGTGTATGGTGAAGGAATAGAGGAGTGTGGGGGCATCATCTGATCATCAGATTGTTGGAAAACAATGTTTGGGACCCCCTCCGCTGTTTATTAGGGGATACCAGAAGAATCAGGAGCTCTAAGGGAGATATGTGTCACTGGGCAAATTCAGTGACAGAAGCTCACTAGGAGATACTGTGGAAGTTGCTGAGGTGCTGGTGAGGAAGGTGCATCCCCACCTGTACATGGCTCCAGTGAAGAACCTTGAACTCCTCCGTTATACAGTAAACCAGAGATGCCTCCTTCAAAGACAGTAATCTCTCTTTCTCCCTATCCCTTCTTCATTGCTATCAGCATGGTGTCTTCTTTGTACTGCTCCAGAATTCCTACCTATATTTTAGCTCTGGTTACAATCTTTGCTGTAAAAAGACTGAGCATCCCAGTGGCCTCAGGCCTTGCTCTCTTTGGAGGATGGCACAGGGCCTTTTGATGTGTTTTCCAACTTACAGAACAAACACATTTCTACAGGAGAACACAGGCTTTTTAATAAGCACCATGAGCTGTGTCTTAGCAAAAAGGAGAGCAGCATGCCTTGACAAAACCACTTATTGCCTGCTTTTGTCTTTTCCCCACAGAGCTTTTCAAAATGCAGCGCTACAAAGGTAAGCAAAAGGGAGATGATGAATGTGAGCACTCAGAGTCTGAATGTGGCTCTGGAAATCCTATCTGATGAACTCAGAGAGCTGTTTGGAGAACAAACCCCTAAGAAGAAGGATTGTGTGATAGCTGTTTTCTTTGTTGTGTGCTGCCAAAGACCCTGCGTATGTTCGACAGGAGCCATTTTAGCTGTGGGGAGCAGGGATGACCAGCTTGCATTGGCCACTCCAGCCCCCGGCTCCCACTCCTGGTGTTGCCCTCTTTGGCGTTTCAGGAAAAGTGTCTTGAGCTGATGTTTCTCCACTACAGGAGCAACCCCTTCTTTAAATCTGAGCTGAGCTACAGGACCTTAGTTCATGGCATTGCACCTTGCTGGAGTCCTGTCAGGTGTTTGTTACGTACATTGATGAGCTGGGAAAAGTGAGGAAAGAAACATTTCCTCATCTCATTGTCTCAATGCCTCATTGTGGCAGTGAACATCACTCTTCCATTCTAATCCATGTGGAAGAGGCATCCTAGCCTGGTGTTCTCCTGTTTTTTGAGGACAAACTACTTAAACTTTGAAAATCGCCTTCAGACTTTGATAAGGAGTTAATCATGACACACAACCAAATTTTTGTGAAGGCACCTACATCTCCATATACGTTATACATATATCCACCACAGGCAACAGCTGTATTTTCTCTACCATCATTCTGAATAGGCTTTTTTATACACTTACTGAAAATATGTATCTCTGTTTTAGCATTTATTGCTGACCGGTGAGTGTCTGCATTGATTTCCCAGCGGGTTTCAGATGCTGCAGGGTTGATCACCTGTCTCCCCCTCTTCCTCTTCAGTTTCTCTCATCTAGAATTTACTTTGGCCAATTTGATTTTGTCTCAATAGTCTTGGAAAAGTCAGTTGTGATTCTGGTGTTGCCCAAAGAGGAACTGCCTGGTCAACTCCCAGACCCTTTCCTCAGGCCATCCCCACAGCAATTCAAAGATGGAGGGAGAGGGCATTCAGCCCCACAGCCTCCTCCTTAGTGCAGAATGCTGGAGTCACAGGAACATTGGCTGAGATCCTGTCCTTTGCTGCATGCAGGCTGGTCACTCACTGAGTCAGCAGCCCTGAATGGGAATGGAGGGATGTGGGAGGTATGGGAAGAGAGAAGACAGAGGTCCTGTGAGGCAAGAGGCTGCCTGGTGCACCTGAGTGTGGAGGTAGAGGAAGGAGTAGTGAGAGGTGGAGGAGAATATAGAAGAGAATGCCTCAGAGTAGCAGACCTTGTCTTTTCTGCTCCTTATGGCATGACTTGATCATTGCAGAGGATGTCACCCTGGATCCTGACACAGCCCACCCCAGATTGGAAATCTTTAACAATGGGAAGAGTGTGAAAGATACTGGCACCATCAAGAAGGTGCCCAGCAAGGGGAAGAGATTTGATTCCCACCTTTACGTGTTGGCAAAGGAAGGATACACATCTGGGAGACACTACTGGGAAGTGGATGTTGGCCAGAGAAGCAGCTGGGCCTTGGGTATTGCCCGGGAATCTGTGACTCGCAAAGGGACATTGACTCTGTCTCCAAAGAATGGCCTCTGGGTCATGGGGTGTACAGACGGGCGAGAGTATTGGGCCTACACAGAGCCTTGGACCCGTTTGAGTGTGCGTGGGAAGCTGCCAAAGATTGGGATCTTCCTGGACATCTCATCCAAGCAGCTGTTGTTTTACAATGTCCGTAAGAAAGCAGCTCTGTACACTTTCACCATTGCTGATGGCAGCAGCCGGGAAGGGAAACTCCTTCCCTTGTTCTCCACAGGCTCAGCTGCTGCAAAGGCTGACACTGAGCCTCTGAACATAGCGCAGGGGTTTGATGATGATGATGAATAGATCACTCTACATTGTGAAGGTCTAGAATGTACAGCCAGGGATCAGATGGAGATGTGATCAACCTGCTGCCTTGTTTGTATCTCCTGAGCACAGCTGAGGTAGGAAGGGACAGATGTAGTGGAGTGACCAGCTCTGACAGCTTTTAAACTATGCATCAGAATGAAAAAGCTATTGAGGCAAATTTTAGGGGTTCAAGAAAAACTTTTTTTTTTTTTTCATGGCAACATGGAATAAATACTTCTTCTGGAAGGTGTGTTTTCAGAAAAAATTACTGGTCCGTTTTCTTATACTTTGTTGTTTTGGGTTTTGTTGAAGAGGAAGAATGATAGAGCAACCTGTCAGGCACCTGGTGTCCAGCCAAGGTCAAGCCACCATAGATGTCCAGTTGGCTTTTGACTTTCTCCCAGGATGGACACTCTCTTGGAAACTTGTACCGGTGCTTGGTCACCTTCACAGTAAAAAAGTGTTTCCTGATGTTCAGAGGGAACCTTCTGTGTTTCTGTTTGTGCCCATGGCATATTGTCCTGTCACCGGCACCACTGGCAAGAGTCTGGCTCTCTGTCACCTTTGCACCCTCCCTTCAGCTGTTGAGATGCTTTGGGAAGATTCCCCCGAGCCTTCTCTTCTCTGGGCTGGACAGTCCCTGTGGGAGAATTCTTAGAAATTAATGGTCATCCTGTGAGCACCCCAAGCTCTGGGCAGCTGTTGACAATAGGCCTCTGACAATAGTCCAGGCCCTGGACAACAGTGCAGGCCTAGAGGTTACTAAACGGTTGTGATTTGTAAACTAATGAAGCTGGCAGAAAAGGAGTAGCTGTCTTCTGAATGTACTGATAAGTAGGACCTTGGGTAGAATAAAAAAAAAAGAAAAGACTGTATGTGTAAACAGCTAATAATAGCCAACTAAAAAGCATGTAACTAGTTATCACCTGCTAATCATAGTCCACTATAAAGGCATCACCTGTGAATTGTCTATAAAAGCTGAGCTATCTGTGCAATAAAGTGGCATCTACCTGATCACATTGGTCGTCGTGTATGATGTCTGAAGCTTCCGCGTCATCACCCCTGGGCTTCCCTCACAAGCTGGTTGCTCCCTCCCTGTTGTGAGACCAGAGAAATGCTCTGGGGAATCCCTGGCAAGGACCAGGGTGAACTGCCAGTTCCCAGAGGCCGTGGCAAGGGGTAATTGGCCCAAGATGGTGTCCCTTGGCTCAAAGCCACCTGCACCTCATCTCCAACCTCCAAAAGCACCTCTCCAGAGCCTTGAGAACCCAATTTCTTCATCTGCAGCCTCAAAAACAAAGGGGATCCCTCCAGGAAAAGTGCTGCCCCAGTTTCCAATGTGCAGTTCCCCAGACAGTATAGAAGGCCTGGTGGGCTTTTGGCATAGCTGCCTTGGAGGCGGAAGAAGTTAAACAGTTGTCTACCTTGCCTGGTCTCTCAGAGGACCCTTCTGTTGTAGGGCTGTTGAAGGTCGAAGAACAACACGTGCCAATTGCTACCACAACGGTTCATCGGCGGCAGTATCGAACTAACCAAGACTCTCTAATCCCCATCCATCAGCTGATTCGTCAACTAGAGATTCAAGGAGTGATCAGCAAGACTCACTCACCCTTTAACAGTCCCATATGGCCAGTGCGGAAATCTAATGGAGAGTGGAGGCTAACTGTGGACTATCGTGGCCTCAACGAAGTCACGCCACCGCTGAGTGCTGCCATGTCAGACATGTTAGAACTTCAATACGAACTGGAGTCCAAGGCAGCCAAGTGGTATGTCACAACTGATATCATTAATGCATTTTTCTCAATCCCCCTGGCAGTAGAGTACAGGTCACAGTTTGCTTTCACTTGGAGAGGTGTCCAGTACACTTGGAATAGACTGTCCTAGGGGTGGAAACACAATCCCACTGTTTCCCATGGACTGATCCAGACTGCACTGGAACAGGGTGGAGCTCCAGAACATCAGCAGTACATTGACAGCATCATCATATGGGGCAACACAGCAGAAGAAGTTTTTAAAAAAAAAAGAAAAGACTGTATGTGTAAACAGCTAATAATAGCCAACTATAAAGCATGTAACTATTTATCACCTGCTAATAAAGGTCCACTATAAAGGCATCACCTGGGAATTGTCTATAAAAGCTGAGCTATCTGTGCAATAAAGTGGCATCTACCTGATCACATTGGTCGTCGTGTATGATGTCTGAAGTTTCCGTGTCATTACCCCTGGGTTTCCCTCACAAGCTTCTTGCTCCCTCCCTGTTGTGAGACCAGAGAAATGCTCTGGGGAATCCCTGGCAAGGACCAGGGTGAACTGCCAGTTCCCAGAGGCCGTGGCAAGGGGTAATTGGCCCAAGATGGTGTCCCTTGGCTCAAAGCCACCTGCACCTCATCTCCAACCTCCAAAAGCACCTCTCCAGAGCCTTGAGAACCCAATTTCTTCATCTGCAGCCTCAAAAACAAAGGGGATCCCTCCAGGAAAAGTGCTGCCCCAGTTTCCAATGTGCAGTTCCCCAGACAGTATAGAAGGCCTGAACCTACTTCTGATCCCCTTGAAGGAACCTCCAAATCATTTCTGCAACAAGCAAGTAACGGATACTATGACCACTATTAGGGGGGCCCTGCCTCCGGCCAGGTGGGGGAAAGGGACAACCGGATTTATTGGACAGTGTGGATTCGATGGCCTGGCACGTCAGAGCCACAGGAGTATAGAGCTTTAGTGGACACGGGTGCACAGTGTACGATAATACCATCAAGCCATACAGGGACAGAACGCATCTGTATTTCTGGAGTGACAGGGGGATCCCAAGAGTTGACTGTACTGGAAGCTGAAGTGAGCCTAACTGGAAATGAGTGGCAAAAGCATCCCATTGTGACTGGCCCAGATGCTCCATGTATCCTTGGTATAGATTATCTCAGGAGAGGATATTTTAAGGATCCAAAAGGGTACCGGTGGGCTTTTGGCATAGCTGCATTGGAGGCGGAAGAAGTTAAACAGCTGTCCACCTTGCCTGGTCTTTCAGAGGACCCTTCTGTTGTAGGGCTGTTGAAGGTTGAAGAACAACAGGTGCCAATTGCTACCACAACAGTTCATCGGCGGCAATATCGAACTAACCGAGACTCTCTGATCCCCATCCATGAGCTGATTCGTCAACTAGAGATTCAAGGAGTGATCAGCAAGACTCACTCACCCTTTAACAGTCCCATATGGCCGGTGCGGAAATCTAATGGAGAGTGGAGGCTAACTGTGGACTATCGTGGCCTCAACGAAGTCACGCCACCGCTGAGTGCTGCCGTGCCGGACATGTTAGAACTTCAATACGAACTGGAGTCCAAGGCAGCCAAGTGGTACGCCACAATTGATATCGCCAATGCATTCTTCTCAATCCCTCTGGCAGCAGAGTGCAGGCCCCAGTTTGCTTTCACTTGGACAGGTGTCCAGTCCACCTGGAATTGATTGCCCCAGGGGTGGAAACACAGCCCCACCATTTGCCATGGACTGATCCAGACTGCACTGGAACAGGATGAAGCTCCGGAACATCTGCAGTACATTGATGATATTGTCATATGGGGTAACACAGCAGAAGTTTTTGAGAAGGGGCATAAAATAATTCAAATCCTTCTGAAAGCTGGTTTTGCCATAAGATGGGGTAAGGTCAAGGGACCTGCACAAGAGATTCAGCTTTTAGGAGTAAAATGGCAAGATGGACGCCGCCAGATCCCAACGGATGAGATCAACAAAATAGCAGCCATGTCTCCACCAACTAGTAAGAAGGAAGCACAAGCTTTCCTAGGCATTGTGGGTTTTTGGAGGATGCATATCCCAGATTACAGTCTGATTGTGAGCCCTCTGTATCAAGTAACCCGGAAGAAGAACGATTTTAAATGGGGTCCTGAGCAACGACAAGCTTTTGAACAAACTAAACAGGAAATAGTCCATGCAGTAGCTCTGGGGCCAGTCCGGGCAGGACAAGATGTTAAAAACGTGCTCTACACCGCAGCTGGGGAGAACGGCCCTACCTGGAGCCTGTGGCAGAAAGTGCCAGGGGAGACACGCGGTCGACCCCTGGGGTTTTGGAGTCAGGGATACAGAGGATCCGAAGCCCGCTGTACTCCAACAGAAAAGGAGATCCTGGCAGCATATGAAGGGGTTTGAGCTGCTTCGGAAGTGGTTGGTACAGAAGCCCAGCTCCTCTTAGCACCTCGACTGCTGGTGCTGGGCTGGATGTTCAAAGAAAGGGTCCCTGCCACGCATCATGCAATGGATGCTACATGGAGTAAGTGGATTGCACTGATCACTCAGCGAACTCGAATGGGAAACCCCAGTCGCCCAGGAATTCTAGAGGTGATTATGGACTGGCCAGAAGGCAAGGATTTTGGAATGTCACCAGAGGAGGAGGTGATGCGTGCAGAAGAGGCTCCACCATATAATGAACTCCCAGAAGATGAGAAGAGATATGCCCTGTTCACTGATGGGTCCTGCCGGATTGTGGGAAAGCATAGGAAGTGGAAGGCTGCTGTGTGGAGTCCTACAAGACAAGTTGCAGAAGCCACTGAAGGACAAGGTGAATCAAGCCAATTTGCAGAGGTGAAAGCAATTCAGCTGGCTTTGGACATTGCTGAGCGGGAAAAATGGCTGGTACTTTATCTCTACACCGATTCATGGATGGTGGCAAATGCTTTGTGGGGGTGGTTACAGCAGTGGAAGCAGCAGAATTGGCAGCACAGAGGCAAACCTGTCTGGGCTGCTGAATTGTGGCGAGATATTGCTGCCCAGGTAGAGAATCTGGTTGTGAAAGTACGTCATGTAGATGCCCACGTACCCAAGAGCCGGGCCACTGAGGAACATCAAGTCACATGGGACAAATCTGGATTCCAAGACATACAGGAATGGGATTATGAAGCAGTCTTGCAGGGAGGTATTGTCCAGTGTCTGGAAAACACTGGGATTTTCTCTTTCATGGCAGCTGTGAGACACCTCTGCAGAAATGAGGTCTTTGGCCTTTTTAGCGGTCTGGTTTCTTTGCTATGAGGGACCATGTCCTCCTTCCTCCCTGTGTTCATGGTGTGTTTGAAAGGCTTCTGTGAGACCCATCACTCGAGTGGCCCACTGGCTTTTCCTCTTTGTAGGATGAGACAGGCTTGTGATATTCTTTCTGACCTGTACTAAAGAGATGCTGCGGCAGAAGAGCATGTTCCTCCGCCAGCATTACAGACTGTGTGCGAGCTCTCTGGAGCTGTGGTCTCCTTCTTTAATCTACTCAATGTCTCTTTCAGGGCTTGCTTTATGGAAGCTTGTGGGGAGGGAGCCTTTGGTGACCAAAAGTTTTATTTGAGAGAGAGTAGAAGAGCATCCTTGCTTTCGGAGGACTTTTTGTAGGAATTTTTTATTCTTCTTTAATGACTCATCCCTTTGTTGTTACAGACAAACTGCAGAGAGAAAAGGGTAAGTGACATCTTCTTTCTGGTGCTCATTATGAAATCCACA